ACTGCAACCTCTGCCTCCCGGGTTCTCCTGCCTTAGCCTCCTGAGTAGCTGGGATCACACCTAGCTAATTTTTTGTATTTTTAGTAGAGAGGGGGTTTCACAGTGTCAGCCAGGATGGTCTCTATCTCCTGACCTCGTGATCCGTCCGCCTCAGCCTCCCAAAGTGCTGGGATTACAAGCATGAGCCACGGCGCCTGGCTCAACTTACACTCAGTTGACTGGGGCAGAGAATGTGAGTTTCATATGTGCCAGATGTAGGCTGACCACAGGAGGAAGCTGACACGGGGGTGCCTCGGGCCCTGTCCAATAGGACATCCCAAGAGGCAAAAAGCCTCTGCACAGAGAATCAAAAAATTCCTTGGGGCTGCAGAGGGACTAAGCAACCAACCCAGGTTTCTTCCATCCTCAGGTTCCTCCGTTTCTAGGACCTTGTCACTATCTGCATGGTTGAAGCCTCTGTCATGTTCAGGTTCAGTCGAAGGGATGGGGAAGAGGTACACCTGGAAGGTGGAGATGCATAGAACTGCAGGGAGGCCCCTGCAGATGACAGCTTCCTAGTGATGGCAGATGGTTTCTGAACAATCTAAAGACTACCTCCCGGGATTTCAATGCTATGGTTAAACACTGACCATACTTGGAGCATGACACCATTGTCCCACAGTTCCGTAGTAACTAGGCAAGGGAGAGCCTTCCTGCTCCCCAGCCTCTTCTCCCTGCACCCCCAAACCCACCTCCCAGGAATGGAGGAGAGAGAAATCAGAAGTAGCTAAAGAGAGAGAAGGCAAGTGAGAAAAGTGAACCGTCCACCCTTCTCTTCCTGAGTCTTTTTGTGTGCAGCAGACCACAGCTGGGGGAGCGAGGGAAACTCTTGTGAATGAAGACTGGAAATTTGATAATCACGCCGGCCAAGGAATTTTAGTTGAGACTGTACTTAACACTTAAAATGCCTACAGTATATTCTGTTTTCCAAGAGAGACGAGAAAAATCATGGGATAGTACAAGTTTTCGTCTGGAAACAGGGGTTGGATGTGAATAAGCGCTCAGAGCCAATGTAAAACGGCCTTGGGAGCCTAGACCTGCTTTCTGATTTAGAGCTTGTTTGAAGTCAGACCGCCCATGGGGTCCTGAGCCCGGCCCACCGCGTTAGGGTGGCTGCTTGGAGACAACCGGCCAGCCAAGCAGATCGTTCCTCTTTTCCACCGTGAAGAGTCACCACTGGGCGGCCGGGCACGGTGGCTCACGCCTGTCATCCTAGCACTTTGGGAGGCCGAGGCGGGTGGATCACCTGAGGTCGGGAGTTCGAGACCAGCCTGACCAACATGAAGAAACTCTGTCTCTACTAAAAATACAAAAAATTAGCTGGGTGTGGTGGCGCATGCCTGTAATCCCAGCTACTTGGGAGGCTGAGGCAGGAGAATCACTTGAACCCGGGAGGCAGAGGTTGTGGTGAGCCAAGATTGTGAAATTGCACTCCAGCCTGGGCGATAAGAGCAAAACTTCGTCTCAGAAAAAAAAAGTCACCACTGGGCATGGGGCCACCTAGCAAAGGACTGCATCTCTCTGGCCTTCTCACAGGTAGGTCACACGGCTGGCTCTTGCCAATGCTAGAAAGTGGAAGTGATGCGTCCATGGAAACGGCAGGTGTACCTCCTTCCGCGTCCCTTTGACTGAACCTGAATGTGGCAGTGGCTTCAACCCTGCAGATGGCAACAAGGTCCTAGAGGTGGAGGAACCTGAAGACGGAAGAAACCCTGGGTGCCTGAGTGACCATGTGGAGCAGAGTGGCTTTTCTATGAAAAAAAAAGTTGAGTTCTTCTCGTTATAGCAACTCAGCCTTTTATTGTGAGTGGAAGAGCACCCCATTTTCTGAGTTCTCTGAACCACATCCAGACACTGCACCCCAACTCACTGGACTCTCCCGCTAGAGAGCAGCCCCTCAGCTGTCTCAGTGATAAAAGCCCTGGAGACAAAAATGTGCTTTGGAATCAGACACGGTTTCTCACTCAACTCTGCTTCCTCCTGGCTGTGCAGTCTTGGACAAGTGACTACCTCTCTGAACTCAATTCCCTCTTATCCAAAAAGGGATTCCAGCTAGCTCTGCCATGAGGATCCAATGACAAGATGCAGGTAAAAGGCTCAACACAATGCTTGGCACAGAATGAGGTCTTTGCAAAAGTCAGATCCCGTTCCCTTCCCCCATTGCTGGCAGCCTTCACTGTGAGTCCCTGGCAGGCCTCCCACCAGCCCCCACCAAGCCTTGACGCAGACCAGAGTTTTTCTTTCGAGTAAGCGACAGGTTCAGGGAGGCAGAACGGAGCAAGTACTTAGAGTTCACAGCACGGAATTCTTTGAAATCATATTCCCAAAGCTCCCTTCCTAGGGTCGGGGGATTAGCTGGCTATCCTGGGCTTGGCTCTAAATGGCCTCGTCGTGAGGGGAATTTTCCTACAGTCTTATCCTACCCTCTGTCCCAGGGCTAAGAATATATATATCCGTCTCCTCTGCAGCAGCCCGTTGCTGTCGACCCCATTCCAGGACAAGGACTGTGGGATGCAGGGAACAAGGAGTGGGGCTAGAGCTGGGGCTGGGGCGAGCGTGTTCTGCTTGGTGATGATTGGCATGTTGTGAATTATGCAACAGGAATATTAATTCCTTCTAGCAGAGGCCAGCAGGGCTGCGAGAGGCTGTTGGTGTGTATCTGGTCCAGATGCCTTCCTCCCGCCTCCCATTTACTCATGAGGAAAAGAAGGCCCGGAAGGAGGCGAGACTTATTTGCAGACTCACACGGAGAAATGGAGTGGCAGCGGCAGGCTGGGCTCCAGCTGGACCCCGTGGGAGCCTGGCCCCGTGCACCAGCGCCCGTCTTATGGGACAGTGCTGATGGCGATGCGGAAGGGAGTGTTTGCCTCCAGGCTTCGTGTGCATGAAAACCGAGATCTAGAGAGTATCTGAGGGACATGCCCCCCACTGACCTGGGACTGATGTGGGCGAAAGCTTGGAGGGGAGCTGGACTGCTACATTAGCAGAAGCTGGGAGATGGGCCCCAGGTAGGCAGAGGTTAGGAGATGTGTCCTTGGGTGGGCAGAGGCTGGGAGCTCAGCCCCCAGGTAGGCAGAGGCTGGGAGCGGGGCCTCTAGATAGGCAAAAGTTGGGATTTATCCACCTCCCCACACCACGGACTTGCGTGGTCTTACCTCCACCACAGCCTGGTTCTCTGTTTGGTGAATGTCTGTGCAGGAGTTGTGGCTTCCCAAGGGACAATGTGGCTCCCAGTGGACCTTGAACTACCTTCCTCTCAACCTCCTTTAGGGCCTGGCTCCCTGATCCTGCTGGTGGCATTTGCTGATCAAAAGAACAGACTGTCTCCACCTCCCGGATGCAAAATCTTTCCTCACCCAGACGGAGATCAGAGAGCCTCTGGTGCTGAAGCCCTGATCTGCCGCTTCACCAGCTATGCCATCTTGGACAAGATATTGAGCTCTCTGGGCCTAAATGCTCCCATGGGGTGAATGTGTGTGGCTTCCCTCAGGGCTGGGTGACAGGATCGTGTGAGACGTGCCAGGTAAACACACAGTGGGCACTCGCTGGCCTCTTCCTTTCCCTCTGCACAGGAAAGCGTCTGAGTGCCAGGGGGCACGTTCAGTGTTGTTCAGGGCCCAGACCTTCTCACTCAGCCTCCCCTTGCCATCCCCACCCGCATCCTATCTCACTTCACAGGAGGACTCGTGCTGTGAGCCCATGTTACCCAGTTCCATCTAGAATGTGGTCCAACAAATCCACCACAGGCGGGCGGGGGCCGTGTCCCGGCCCCGGGAGTGAGTCTAAGCAAGGCTGCCCATGCTCGGCATTTGCGGCCAGATCATTCTCAGTGGGGTGGGGGTGGAGGGGCGGCCTGTCCATTGGAGGATATTGAACGGTGTCCCTGGCCTCCACCCACGAGGTGAGAGTAGCACACCCAGCCCCAGGCTTGGAAAAGGTTTCCAGACATTGCCAAATGTCCCCTGGAGGTGAGATTGCTGCTGTACGGGAACCACAAAGAACTAGACACAGAGACCCTTCCAGAGCTAAGTCTGCAGGAAGCCCCTCCAGTCTGGACACGGACACCTCTGCATACACCCGGAGGATCCAGGAGGCCAGGCTGAGGGAGGGCATCACTTCCCCCAATTTAAACTTGAAGGTGGACTCAGTGCTGACCCACAGGGCCAGGGCACCCCGCAGGTGCATTTTGGGAGGGAAAGGCCAGCTTTGTTTGGGGTGGGAGGCACACCTCCTCTTGGAAATACACAAAATACACATGGGCAAGGACACAGCTTTGTAACAAACCCACTTTTATTGATAGTGTACACGGAGATCCATGGCGGCGGGTGTGCCTGGGTGACAGTACGCCACACACCTGTGTGGCCAGGGTGCCCGGCCTGCTCGGGGAGCTCGGGCGGGGGCGGAGTGGGGGACAGAGGCAGGCTCGGAGCTGCTGCCTTGGGCACAGACGCAGGCAGGGCCAAGGCTGGGGTGCAGGTGCAGGTACGCAGAGCTGGGGCCAGGGCTGGGTTGCAGGTGCAGGTATGCAGGCAGGGGCCAGGGCATGTGTACATTTGTGTTCATCTGCGTGTACTTGTATATACATGGGCATGGTGTACACAATATCTACAGGGACCCTCACAGACTGAGCTAGGGAGAGGGTTGAGGACAAGATGTTCCAAAGCCCTGAAGGCCCCAGGGGCCAAGCATCAAGAGAGGGGGCACATCGTGGTATGTACTGAATGCCCAGTGCTAGCTTACTTCTGCCACCCACAGACTTGCTGTGTGACCTGGGGAAAGCTACTTACCATCTCTGGACCTCAGAAAGACCTATTAGATGCTCACTAAGGTTCCTTAGGGCCCTAAAACTTCAATACGTTTAGACAGATTAAAATACAAAATATGCTTGTTAAGAGCTGATGAGAAGGGCCTTTGGTTTATGGGTTCGAAACCCACCATGCCTGAGTACATGGTGGTACCCAGTACAGCCCAATCCCGGGCACAAGGAAAAGACCCACCCTGAGCTTCTCTGTCAGAGCCCTTCCTGGCTCAGTCCTGAGTCCTAGCTGCTCCTCCCTGCCCCCTCACCACTGTGTGTGCAGAGGGTGGCAGGGCAGCAGGGGTGGGCAGGGGCCAGGGCTGGGGACCCTCTTGGTTTCCTAGGACACAGTGAACCCAGCACCCAGTAGGTGCTTAATAAATGCTTGCGTAACAAGAACAGTAGAGGACAGCTAGGTTCTAGGTGGAGCTGTACCCTGAACTTGCTGGGGGGCGGGGGGGGGGGGCCTGGGGCTCATCATGTCCCTACCGGGCTGTGTCCTTGCCCAGTGGTATCCTCTGTGAAATGGGAGCATAAAAAAGCAGCCGTGGCCTGTCTGCCCCACGCTTGTGCAATCGTCTGCAAACTGTGGAGCTCGATGGCAGAGGTCAATATCTAGCTGCAGACAGGCCACGGGAACCCTGTTCGGGAGCAGAGGAGAAGGCGTCCCTGGTGGAGGCCGTGGATCTGAACTGGGTGAGGACCTGGCCAAGGAGGGGGTCACTAGGCTTTTACAGTACAGTGATTTCCATTTCTACTGCTACACATGACATGAAAACAGCTGCAACCACAATAAAGCACAACTGTCGGGGGGGGACCTGGGAGAGGAGGGACGGGGAGGAGAGGCTGAGGAACGCGGTCAGGAGGTGGGCGTGGTCTAGGTGTGGCCAAGCCCTTCAAACACACAGCCGCGGCTGGCTCAATGTCAGGGGCAGCTGGAGGGGTGCAGAGGCAGCTGAACCGGAGGGCAGGAGTTGCGGGGCTGAGAGAGACATTCTCTCAGCTGCCACCCAAGCCAAGCTGGGTCTTATGCCAGGAGAGAGGAGACCTCTCCCATCTGGGTCCCGGTGTCCTTTCCATCCTGGTTCTTGTCCCAGGAGGTTCCATTTGACGCAGCAATCCTCATCCCTCTGGCATCAGCGTTTCTTCCAACCTCAGGAGAGGAGAGCGTAACTTGGGTCTCTGCGTAACTCTTTAGGCTGCAGAGATGTGTCTTCCCATAGAGGAGCGTAACCACCAAGGAGCTGCGGACGAGGAGACTCGGGGACGCTGTGAGAAGGCAGACGGATATGCGGAGGCAAGTGCCTGGGGGCCTCCAGCCTGGTGCCAAGTCTGTGAACAAGCCTGCCACGGGGGCCTCGGTGGGGGGATGCGCACAGTGGGCATCTGGGGCCACCTCCCTGAAGGCACAGCCCAAGCCCCAGGCCAGCATCCCTTGCTCACTGGATGGTGCACTTGTCCCTCTCGCGGGCCTGGCCTTCCCGAAGAACCTTGGCCTTGATGTACTTGAGGTCACTGTTGACGCTAGGGCGGCGGGCGAAGGGCGAGACCATGCCGTAGGCATCTACCTCCTTGATGCGGCGCATGCAGAAGGGCCTGGGGTGGAAGGCGTCGCCGTACTGCACGGAGATCTTGCGGTGCAGGGCGGGGCTCATCTCGTGCGGCAGCTTGGCCATGCTGAAGAGCACGTAGAACATCTCGTCCACGTTGGTGTTCTTCTTGGCCGACACCTCGAAGTAGGCACAGTTCTCGTCGCCCGACACCAGCAGCTCGGCCTCGGTGGTGGGCACCTGGCGGCAGAGCTCGCCGTGATCGTTCTTGTTGCCACAGATGACCATGGGCAGCTCCCCCGCCTCCTTGGTCTTGTTCTTCAGGCAGGACTTGACCTCTAGGATCTGCTTCTGGAGGCGCTTGACCTCATCGAAGGACTCCCGGTTATCCAGGCTGAACACCAGGATGAAGACGTCCCCTGCAGGGAGAGAGCCCAGGCAGTGAGTGCACCGGCCAGCTGTGCCCCTGCCCTCCTCTCGCCACAGAACATCAGTCCCAACAGCCGGCAGTCACAGGTGCCCTGAGGCAGTGGCCCGGCGTCACTGACTCAAAACCTTCGCCGCGACTCTGTGGGGTAGCTGCGATTATTCTCCCCATTTTCCAGGGCAGGAAACTCAGGACGAGGGGGTTGAAGCCCCTGTTCAAGGTCGCACAGCTAACATGTGGTATCGCATGGTTCGAATATGGTTAACGCACTTCACATTTCCTTGCAGGGCGGGGGAGGGGTGAGAGTGACTTGTGTGGACTGCGTTCAGATAATAATAAAAGTCATTTCCAGGAGAGCAGGGGTCCTGCCTGTCTTGCCCAATGCCTGGTTTGCACCTGGCCTCGTCCACTTAGCTGCAGGTCCTGAAACCTCTGTAATCTCAGTTTCTCTGTCTGTTTCATGCAGATGAAATATGACCTTGCAGGATTATTTTGAGAGTTTTACAAGATCATGAATGGACGGTGGCCTCAGGTGTCAGTGACAATGAGAACGAGGGCCTGCTGGGAGCCAAGCATCAGGTATCTGCCCCAGGCCCACTGTTCTCTTGATTCCTCACTACGCCTCTGTCAAGGAGATTTTGTTACCTTTGTGTTACAGGTGAGCAAACTGAGGCTCAGAAAGGGTACGCGACCTGCCCGAAATCACATAGCTTCTGTGTGGCTAGGCTGAAACTTCTACCTGATTCTGTCCTCACCTAGCTGGTGCCTGGTACAGAGTAGGTGCTCTCGGCTTCTCAAATCATAGGATGAGAAAGTGAGCGCCGGCCTCCAAGGCCCACACCGCCTCCACGGTAACTCACCCACCGCATCACTCAAGGCAGGCTTTGGAGTCTGAAACAGCGGCTGCTGTGGAGATGGTAAGGCGGTGGGGAGGCTGTCTGGATGGGTGCCTCCATCCCAATTTCCAGCTCTTAATAAGCATCTTTCTCACTTTTACTTAAACTCTTTTTTTTTTTTTTTTTTTTGAGATGGGGTCTTGCTCTGTCGCCCAGGCTGGAGTGCAGTGGTGCGATCTCGACTCATTGCAACCTCCACCTCCTGGATTTAAGTGATTCTTCTGCCTCAGCGTCCTGAGTGGCTGGGATTACAGGTGTCCCGCCACCATACCTGGCTAATTTTTGCTTTTGTTTTTGTTTTGTTTTGTTTTCTTGAGACAGAGTTTCACTCTTCTTACCCAGGCTGGAGTGCAATGGCATGATCTTGGCTCACCACAACCTCCGCCTCCTGGGTTCAAGTGATTCTCCTGCCTCAGCCTCCCAAGTAGCTGGGATGACAGGTGCCCAGTACCACGCCTGGCTAATTTTTTGCCTTTTTAGTAGACACAGGGTTTTACCATGTTGGCCAGGATGGTCTTGAACTCCTGACTTTAGGTGATCCACCTGCCTCGGCCTCCCAAAGCACTGGGATTACAGGTGTGAGCCACCACGCCCAGCCAATTTTTGTTTATTTAGTAGAGATGGAGTTTCACCACATTAGCCAGACTGGTCTCAAACTCCTGATCTCAAGAGATCTTCCCACCTCAGCCTCCCAAAGTGTTGGGGTTACAGGCATGAGCCACTGCGTCCAGCCACTTTTGCCCAAACTCTTGATAGCCTTGTGGTTTGGATACAAGATCCCTGTCTCACAGATGAGGAAACTGAGGCCCAGAAGAATTAGCAACTGGCCCAAGTTCTCGAGAGGAGAAGCAAGCAGTTCCAGCTTCTGGCAGAACGGCTGCCTACTTCCTCTGCACCTCCAGAGCACACCATTTGCCCCCACTTACTGGCACATGGCACATTCAGAATGGTGTCCAGGCCAAGGGTGTGCTCCAAACAGTGAGCTCTGGTACAGAGGAGGGCTCCATCGCCCACTCATCGTGGTCTCCTCGGGGCCTGGCACACGGCAGGTGTTCACCAAGGCAGGCTGAATGGATGGGAGTGATGGAGTGAAAGGCACTTGCAAGGCAGCATCAGCTTGGCAACTTTTCCTGCTTGCACTGCCAAACCCCATGCCGTTAGGCTAATCCGGGGCCCCTGAGGACTCGCGGCCTTGACATATTCAAATGCGAGTCTGCAATGCCAAGCATCAGAGATCTGCCCGGCTGGCAGCTGGAGGAAGAGCTCATGGTGGAATTAATGGCTTTCAGAATTTCCTGGGCGGCAGGAAAATGAGGTTGGAAAAATGAGGTTCCACCAGGTTGGAAAATGAGGCACCGGTTGGTGAGTGAAAAAAACAAGCATCAGACAGATGTGCTCAGAATGAGATGCGCTGGGAAAAAGAGCCAGGCACAAATATTCTCCATCGTGGGGATACAAATACTTCACGGAGGCCCGGAAGGCTCCACACCAGATGGCCAGGGTGGCCACCTCGAGGGCAGGGGCAGGAGCCCGGGATGGGGGACATGGGTCAAAGGGGCATTAGCTTTATCTGCAGCATTTGCAGGAGGGTGTGCTTGTGTATTACTTGTGTCACTGAAAATTCATGCTGAAAACAGGCACAGGCTTCCTCTCTTCATCTCCCGCCTCCCTTCCTCTGTCATTAGCCTTAGTTATGGCAGTGGGTACCCAGTCCCCTCCCGAAGGCTGGGAGGGTTGACACCCATTCAATCAATATGCATCATGTGCTGGAAGCTCCCGCCACAGGACTTATGTGGACTGCGTTCAAATAATGATAAAAGTCATTTCCAGGAGAGCAGGGGTCCTGCCTGTCTTGCTCAATGCCTGCTTTGCATCTGGCCTCATCCGCTTAGCTGCCAGCTGTCTCGGGCGGTCCTCACAGCCTCCCCATGGGGTCTGAGGTTAAGCCCACTGTGCAGCTGGAGAGGCTGAGACTCAGATGGGATGCATATACCTCTGGTCACACATTTAAGCCAAGAGGCCCAGATGGGATTCGAACACAGGTTGACCCAGGGCTCTCCTAACTACATGCCCCTTCTCCAAAACTTGGGGTGGAGTGGGGAGCTTGATTGCTGTTTGGGTCAGATGCTCCAAAAAGCCAGCCTGGAAGAGGAAGCACTCAAGGAGGGCTCCCCCGACCCCCCGTGGCCTCAGTCTTGGCCTTGAGGCCTGGGGCAGGGCTGGGCATGGCATGGGTTTCACGGTGCGGAAGTTATCTCCGTTTGAGGGTTATCTTAATGATGACTAGAGAGCCACCTGCTCACTCCTTCCCTTATCCCTGGCCAGCAACAGCAGGGGCATGGCTTGGGAAATGATTGTCGGAGCAGGCCCATGACAAATGCTGACTCAACAGAAGTCCCTTGGGATTTATGCACTTACTATCTGCCCACCAAGTGCTTTACATATATTCACTCATTCAATTCTCACTGTGCCCTTAGGATGAGTGCTGATGCGATGCTGATTTAATAGGTGAGAACACTGAGGCATAGAGAGAAAATCCCTTGCCCTGAGTTACAAAACCAGGAAGCAGTGGAACCAGGACTCAGACCCAGGCTCTGGGTCCCGGGTTTAATCTCCCTGTCCCACTGTACTGCTTCCAGCAGAGCTGAGAGACCGTGGTGTGGTTTTGTCTGAGAATACAGAAGCAGGCTGCCTTTACGAGCTGTGGGACCACTGGACCGAGTCCCTTAACCTCTCTGGGCTCCAGTTTCTCCAATTCTAAAAATGGAATGAATAAACTATTTACTTCTGAGGGTTAAATAACCACATGCCAAGCTCTAAGAACAGGAGCAGGCCCACTGCTCCTGATAAGTGTCAGCTGCCATCACCATCACTGTGACTATGACCAAGGCCCCTTCCCTTTGGGGACTACTCCCTGGGTCCTGCCCTTACCTCTCTAGGAGGTGGCAAAGGCCTGGGGTGTGGGAGACGTGAGCCCTGTGGACTGACCTTGGGCCTCGGAGCTCTGCTGGGTCATCTCCAGAGGAGGGAAGCAGAAGGCTGGGCATCATTCTGTTCCCTAGAAAGGAATATCCCTGGGGCACGCTGCTATCAGCTCCTGATCTGGAAGGTGGCACCGACAGCCATGAGTAATCGATCTGGAGTCTAACAGAATGGAATCGAGCCCCTGCCTCCATCACTGGTTCCAGCAAGTGACAAAACCTCTCTGAGCCTCATTGTGCAAGGATGACGCCTGTCTCAGACGATGGCTGTGCAAGTACCATGCACACTGCCAAGCGCGCAGCACATTCCACACCCATGTCCCGGCCCTGCCACCCCAGCCCCGGCACCGGCGGTCCTCACCTGTGAGGATGGAGAGCCTGCGCATGGCAGGGAAGGGGTGGTTGCCGGAGGTGTCCAGGATGTCAAGCTGGTACATGTCGCCGCGGATGTTGTACACCTTGCGGTGGAAGTCCTCGATGGTGGGTGTGTACTGGTCCTCGAAGCGGCCATTGAGGAAGCGAGACACGATAGAGCTCTTGCCCACCCGAGAGGCACCCAGCACCACCATACGGTATGAGTTCTTGGCGGGCACACTGAGCGTGCAGTTCCCGCTGGACAAAGTCTTCATCATGGCTCGGGGCTGCAACAAAGAGCAAGGGAAGTAGTCATCGGGGGCCCCCGGCCTGGCCCCACCGCCCATTGTTAGAGGACTTGGCCCCCTCTCTTGGGGACTCTGTCTAGGTCTCGGTTTTTCTGTCTGTAGAATGGAAATGTCAGACAAGGTCCTGAGGGGCCTTGGAGTTCTACCCTCTCATTCATTCCTGCCCTTGCCTTCATTCCTTCATCCACTGACACCATCCGTTCATTCACCCTTTGGTTTGAGCAAGCACCAGACTGCTGGGGTTTGAACCCTCGACTTGCCTCTTGCTACTGATCTTGGGCAAGCGGCTTAACCTCTCTAGGGGTCACTTTTCTCATCTACAAAATGAACCCAACTCGCAGATCTGCTGCAAAGGACTCAGCACATGGAGAAATCTCAAAAACGGTATCTCTTGCGAGAATCCATTCTTTCCCTGGTTCATCCACCTGGCTTTCCGGGAGCCTGTGATTATTCCAGGATAAGACATGGGGAAGGCACTAGCATGCATTTTTTTTAAACCTGGGGCCGGCGGGGAAAGGGGGTTCTGTGGCCATTCAGCCCTCCTGGGAAGAAGGGAATGCTGTGTCCACACCACATGCTCCAAGCCCGATGCCTGGGGTTGCTCCTGCAGCCATCCCGGGAGGACCCACCTTTAGACCTGTGCTCTGCATCTGGCGGTCTCCCTCCCGCTCCATGGCCTGCCTGCAGATTTTTGCCTCCCAGGCCCTAGGTGTTTACTTGCCTCTGGGGGACCCCAAGGCCCAGAGTAGAGGATGTGGGATGGGGAGTAACCCATGGCTGGCTCAAGCATCCCTCACAACTCCAAGGGTTAATGGTTCTGGAGCAAATCCACAGCTGTCTATGGGAGCCCCTTGACCTCATGAAAAGAGGCTGACATGGGTCCAAGCTCTTGTATAAACAAACCCACGGGCTCCACCAGGCCCACCCCAATGGCCCTTCGCAGCCCAGCCCTCCCTCCTTTCCTACCTCAGTGCCCACCAGAATCGCCCCAGATCCCCTGAGCCCAGTCTCCGTAGTTCGTTTGAGCTCTGCTGAGATCAGCCTCCACTCCTTTGCTCAGGCTACCCCCTGCAGAACGGCCTCCTCCCCTTCAGGGTCTGGCTCAAGTGCCACCTGTTCTCTAAAGGCCTTTCTCATCCCGCCACTCCAGGAGGAGTCCTTCCTCTCTCCAGAGGAGAGCTTTCCAGCCCCTGAACTGCAAGTGGGCACAGGCCTGCTGAAGTATCAGTCCCCTTGGTCCTCTGCAGGCTGCCACAGGTTGTGCAGGTTGGCCACTGCACAAGGCACCGGCTGGGTGGGCATGTAGGGGCTGCATCCCAGAGGTGGGGGCATCTTGTGTCAAGGAAGAGGCACTGTTTTTATATTCACACAAAGCGCTGTATGTGCCAGCCTCGCTCCCCACCCTGGGATGCCCCATGTCGGTTTCCTTGAGTGCCTCGTCCATTGGCCCAAGGCGCTTTCCAATACCATCTCTTTCCGGTTATCATGATGCCAAGGTCTGGGGTGGCCCCTCGAGGTGGAGAGATCGCCTGCGTGCGAGTCCCCGGCACACATCTGGGTCTACTCACCCTGTCCAACTACCAGTCTCTGTGCAGGAAACCGGCTCTCAAAGATACCTTTGTGAAAAGCCCTGATTGGTGGTATTTGCCCATTTCCATGAGGTGAATGCTCCCACCACGGTCAATTCTAAGCTGCCAATGTGACTTGGATGAATGAATCACAAAGAGGCGCACACAATAAGCCAGCTCAGCACACGGCAGACCCCAGGCCTGGAGCCACAAGGACAACAACTGTGGCCACCTAAGCCCATGCAGTGTGCCAAGCTGTGCACTAAGTATAGAAATAATCATAGCTGGCATTTATTTTGCAGCTAAAATATGCCAGAATGTTCTAAGGGCTGCACACATGTTAACCTATTTCTCCCTTTAGTAATCCCAGAAAGCAGGTGGTGTTTTTCTCCAATTTACCGATGAGGAAACTGAGGCACAGAGAGGTTACATTACTTGCTTACAGTTACACAGCCAGTAACCAGCAGAGGAGGCGTTTGATCCCAGGTGGTCTGCGCCGCGCTCAGGAGGCTACATGACTAGCCTACTTCATTAATAGGGGAGCCTGGGCAGTAGTTCAAGCCTAAGACCCCAAGTCCTCCACCCAGTTCCCGCCTAAAGCTGTCTTTGAATTTATCCCACAAAACTGCCATGCCATGTACACAGCAGGAGCTCAATAAATGGTCTGTACATTAATCAAATGGCAAATGGCTCTGTCTTTGGGCTTGCCTGAATTTCCCCTCTGGGACCTTCTCTCCTCAGCCTCAACCACCTGACTGGCCCAGGGGCCATGCTAAGGACGGCCTCCCCACCAGGGCAGCCCTGATGAGGTGCCCAGGGCATAGGTGTGGGAGGCAGGAAATGAGAGAGAAGGGTGGAGAGGGGGTTACTGCCAGACCACAGCAGGGAGCCCTTCTCAGTCTCTGCCAGGTTGTCTCAGCCAGCCTGGGCCTTCAGCAGAGATGGGGAGAAAGAACACCCCCCCAAGTCCCTCTGCAGAGAGTTTGACTTTGCTGGTGGTCACTTCTGTCTAGATAGAGGACAGGAAAGGGGCCAGAAGCTCCCAGGGACAGTATTTGTCTCCAACACTGCCCTGCCCAGCCTCCAGCCCAGAGCTTGGTACAGACGAGCTAATAGCAATGACTGAATGGGCTTCAGGGAGTCAGAGAGAGCAGGCAGGGAGTCACAGAGGCAGAGAATCAGAGAGAGGAGGCAGGGAGTCAAAGAGAGAAGGCAGGGAATCAGAGAGAGGAGGCAGACAGTCAGAAAGAGGAGACAGAGAGAGGAGGCAGGCAGTCAGAAATAAGAGAGGGAATCGGGAAGGGCAAAAAAGGAGGAAAAAATACTCTGTGGCTTTTATTACTGAGAAAAGACTGATTCTTCACATGGCGTGAGTCACGTGGGGCTGTGTGAGACATTTGTACACCTGGACACCAGGTGACAGTGCCTCTGCAGGCTCCGCCTCCCACCCCCACATCTTTCTTCCCTCTCCTCCCCCAGAGGTGGCACCATGGGCAGCCTCGTGGACACAGCTCTCCTCTGCAGCCTGTTCTCCCTTCTCCACCCTCAGCCAGGCTGACCTCACATAGCAAGCAGCAGGCAGGGCTGCGTTTGAAGGACCCTTTGGGAATTTAGAGTCCAATATCAATGACTGAATGGATTTCAGGAAATCAGAGAGAGGAGGCAGAGAATCAGAGGAAGTAGGGAATCAGAGAGGGGAGGCCCACAGAGGTAGGAGATTCAATAGAGACCCCCTAGCAGCACAGGTATCTGAATGCATGTACTGTGACTTCTGAGCCCACCACACAGCCATTCTGAGGAAGGTGGGAGGCAGAAAGTTTCCAGAGTAGGGATGAGGAGGTGACATCCTGGGGGCACAGTAACCACAGCCAGGAAGGCATCCATCAGCCCACTTGACTAATGGGGACATTGACACTCAGAGAGGTTAAGTCATTTGCCCCAGTCCACACAGCAGACGACTGGCTGGGCTGGGATCAGAACCAGGCTTTGACTCCAAAGCCTGGCTCTTAACTCTATGAAAATCCACCCCCAGACCGAAACTTGTCTTTTTCAAAACACTGTCTGACTCAGTGAAGCCTCAGCTGGCGTCAGGCAGGGAGGTGACCCCTGAGGCATATTATATTCTCACTCCCTCTCTGCCTGCAAGCAGTGGGGCAGGGAGGGGGTAGGCACCTCCCAGGATTCTCCCCCAACCCTGCCAGCCAGCTCCCAGCATGTGCACACGTGGATTTGCCACTTCTCCCTGGAGCCTCTCCCCCAGGGCCTGCCCGGAGAATGGAGGGGTCACACAGGCACAGGCAGCAGGACGTCTGGACGTGTCCTCCCGGTGTGTGCCCCAGAGTCTGTTTCACTGGACTCCCTCTCCTCCACCCTCCCATGCCTCCTCCATCAGCACACACTCAGCCTCTTTGGACACGTACATTGCAGTCACTGGTCTCCAGCTGCCACTTTGAGAGTCCGGGGGCTTGGCAAAGCCAACCCCATCAAAGCCAACCCCATCTGGCAGCTCAGATGGTAGAAGGTAGGCAGGCATCTGGCTTCCGGCAGGCCAGCTCTGCCTCTCACCAGCCCAGCACCACTGGGCAAATGACGTGGCTTCCCACCGCTCAGGTGACTCCTTGTTAATGGTAAGAAACAAACCCCCTGTGTAGCCCTGGGCTTCCAATAAGTTTGGAGGCTGCCCTAGCTCCTGGCCCGCCGCAAACCTGAACACACGCTGGGTTCTTTTCTTTGGGGCACTTTCTCTTGGCAGTCATGGGGCTGCCTAGAGCAGCGGGTGAGGCTGAGCTGGAATTCGGGCACTGGTCTTGGATCCCATCTTGTCTGACACCACCGGAGGCCTGAATCACCGGCTCCTGACCTGCCTGCCCGCTCCCAGCCTGGCTTCCCACCTTCCATGAGGTCTTGGACAATATCCCCCATCATCCTCCCAGTGCTGGGGACATGGGGAGGGGAGGGCACAGAGAGGCCTCCAGAGCTGCCTTCAGGGCCCTCCAAGACAGCTAAGTTACAGGAAACCCCTCCTGGGAAGGGAGTCATCCAGGAAAGTTACTCTACACCAACCCAGAGAAAGCTCAAGAACTCTGGATGAAGGGACGAGCTTCTTAATCTTCCTTCCCCACCTCCAGGTATGTAGGCTGCAGCCAGCTCCAGAAGGGGGACAGGAGTGTTTGAGGAAGTTGACTCTTCTTCCCTGAGCCTCAGTTTCCTCCTATTTAAATGGGCTATTACTCTAGCTCTCTTAAATGGAAAGCCTCTGGCACCAAAACTAGCACATAGTAGAAGCTCAATGCATCTTTCTTTCCTGGGATAAGTAAAGGGTCTAGCACCGAGTCTGACACATAGATAGAGTAGGTGCTCAACGAATTTAATTTTCTCTAGGTACGTAAAGTTGCCAGACGATCCCTGCACATAGGAGGTGCTGTCAATTTCACTTTCTCTGGGTCATGCAAGGAACCACTGGGCTTTCCTACCCCAAGCCTCTACCCTTTCTTACCGGCTGCTCCTCTTCCCTCAGATCCCCAGGTCTGTTGGGGTGTCTCCTACCTGGGAATGGCGGGCTGGGCCTCTGGTTCGGCTAGAAGAGCTGCTTGGAAGCGCCGGGAGCTGCGGGGAGCCGCCTGATGCTCCAGCCGCCGCCGAGCCTCCCAGAGTCTGTGGCGCCTCCTGGGTCACTGCGCCCGGATCCTCCCCTGCGCGGCTCGGGGTGCCGGGCTGGGCGCGGCCGGGCAAGGAGGCGCGAGGAGCCGGTGCCCCATGGGTGGGCTCCGAGGGCTCGGCGGGGCCCGGGCAGGGGGCGGGCTCCGGCTCGCCGCCGCGGGCCCTGCCCTGCCCCGAGCCGGGGGCCTCCTGCTCAGCCAGGTGCCCGGAGGCTTGGGGATGTCCGATCCGGGGGTCCCCGCCTGGGGCTCTGGGGCCGGGGGGAGAGCGGTAGGGGCGACTCCGGTGATGAAGGAGCAGCCCCTAGAGATTCGGGGACTGGGGGTCCTTTAGAGGTGACTGTAGGTGCGTGTCCCGGGTGGGCGAACCCTCCTGGTCGCCTATGCCACCTTCTCCGCCTGCCCCGAAAAGGATCGCTCGAATCGGGGGCAACGGGCTGGCGGGCTCGGCCGCGGCCTCCTCCTCTGCCCGCGGCTCTGCAGCTCTCCCCGCGCCGGAGGGACGGCTCCTTTCTCCCCGCGCGCGGCGACACCAGCAGCTGAAGGAGGAGCAGGGAGCTCTGCTCCGCTCGCGTGTGGGAGGGGGCCTTGAACGCCGCCCCAAGGTTTCGCAGCTCCGAGTTAGCATCAACCGGCTCCTCCTCCTCCTTCACCTCCTCCCGTCCCCAGAGGGGGAGAACTTTGCGCGTGGCCTGGCTTCTCCCTCCTTCCCTCTCCTGCAGGCAGACGCCCCTCTGCCACCCGCAGGGGGAGGAGGTCGCTGAGCCTTCCGAAAGGTGGCAGAAACCCAGGCTCCCGACGGCGGTCCCAGCGGCGCCCTCCTGCGCCCCTGCGAGCGTCGCTCACCTGCCCCCCGCGAGCCGCGCGTCCCGTCGCCCAGCGCCCGCGTCTGCCCTCCGGAGCCCGCTCGCCCCGCCCCGCCCCGGCGCCCGGCCAATGGGAGGCGGGTCCCGCGGCCCGGCCCCGCCCTCCACGCGCGCGGCCTCCCGGGCACCGCCTTCTGCGGTTCCGCGTGTCCTGGCGCTTGGGGCCGGGGCCGTTGGGGGCGGCCCGAGGCGCCGGGCGCGCGCACCTTGCCCGGAAGGCTGCACGGGCCTCGGAGGCTGACGTCTGCGCGCTCGCTCACACGCACGCTCGGCCCGGCCGCAGGTGACCCGCGTGGGGTCCGCCTGCCTGCCTACTCGCCCGGGGTGCCCAGCTGCTTGCCGAGCGCGCCGCGGCTCCAGCGCCCTCCTCCTTCGCGGAAGTCTCCGGGTGCCTTCCCACGTGTCCAACCTGCCCGTTCCAGCCGCTTCCGCCCTCCCGAGGTCTTGGTGCCCACGAGACCCTGCGGACTGGCACATGGATCGTGCACGTGTCGCCTAGAGGGGCCGGGAGTCACCTTGGCTTAGTGGCCAGAGGTCTTCGAGGCATGCCCGTCTCAGAGAGCGCGGCCGGGGACACACCGGGTGCCTTGGGCAGGGCCTCTTCCGCCGGCATTCTCCTTTTTCACTTTTAAGCAAGGGGCTTGACCTGGGACCAACATCAGGCAT